TGTCTGCTGCGGACAATATTAGTGTTGCCACATGAGAATATTGGGGTTATGCCCAACTCTGCCCCACCAATGCACATTTTCAACAATTACACTGTGATTATTTGTAGACATGAGTGAAAAACAACCACTTTATGTTAAATGAGGACACAGGAAAAGTGATTAGATGGGAGTATAGAGACACCAGGGAAAACCCCTCTGTCCTCTCAGGTGCCCACCAACAGAGGCCTGTGAGGACAAGGGGAGGGAGGGGCTCCTGCTGACAGGAGCAGGGTCTCAGGGGAAGGGACTTTGTGGGACCTTGACTTTCACTCTCCAACCTCCCAGAGTGTGAGAATCCCCTTTGTGGGATGAGACCCCCAGCCTCTTTGTTCCTGTGAGAGAGCCTGAGCTGATGCTTCACATCCCTGGACCCTCAGAGCAGGGCTGCCTCAGGGGCACCTCAGGTATGGAGGGATCCCATTACCTTTCCTATCCTGTACTCTGACTGCTCAGGCTTCATGCTCAGCTTGGTTTTTGAGCCTTACCTTGCCTTTAGGATGAAGCTGCTGTTGGTTTTACTCTGATCAGAAACACAGAAAGCCAAATGGTCCTAGAACTGGGTTTCTCAGCCAGATGGCTGAGTATTGTTCACAGTGACCATCGGTTCCTATGAACAGGACATGAGGGGCCCCCAAAATAAATAGATGTTTTTAAATAATATTTCCTTTGTTTTGGAGCCACACCTAGCAGTTCTCAGAATTTACTCTGTTTTTTTCCTTCAGTGATCACTCCTGACCCAACTTCGGGGACCAACCATATGGGCTGTCATGGGTCAAACGAGATTTGACCACACACAAAGCAAGAGCACAAAATCATTCTAGGACCAAGCATATAACTGACTTAGAAAACATGTTTCTCATGTTTGAGGCCCTGGGCTTGAATCCTAACACAGCATTAAAGCATTCTAGATCAAAGAAAGGCCCTCCCGTTGATCGTCGATTTGCTCGAGCGGGCCCAGTAACGTCTCCATTGGAGACTTTGTTGTTACTGTGTCTGGCGAATATCTAGATCAAAAATAGTTGAATTATTAATTTTGGTCTCTCGTGAAACCACAGAAACCATACTTATGAGTCTGTCTAGAGCTAATATCCAGAGGGCTCCTCAGTGGTGCAGCCACTGTGGTTTCAGAACTGGTCTGGGTTATCCTGGAAGGAGGAATGAGGCTGCATTAGCCACTGTAGAGAGGAGCCTGCTTTCTGTCATCCCACCCACTTGTGCCATTATCCTTACATCCTTATCATCTCTGGGATGAGGAGGAGCCTTTTTGACTTTTCAAAAATAAGATCTGGACATATACTGGAATCACTGTCCGTATTACTTGCCTATTTATTTCTCACTTCTCCTTTAACTCCAGTCACCTCAAATATGACTATAAGAATTGGAAATGTTCACTCAGGATAAAAACTAAGCATTGAAAGCAGGTAAAGGGATATACATAATAACTTTTCAGTATCTGTGTTGTGAACCAGGGACTCCACACCAGGCTGTTTCCACTCGGGGCGCCCCAGAGTGGGGAATGAGACCTGTTGTCGTTACCATTTTTGGCATATCGAATATGCCACGGGGAGTTTGCCAGGCTCTGCCCGTGCTAGCGGGATACTCAGGGTAGCTTGCTGGGCTCTCCGAGAGGCATATATTTATAAATTTCTCTCTATGATTTGTTGCCTACTGTCTGAACCCTATCAAATATGGTGTGGTAATTATGAAAAATGGGCAGGAAGTGTCTTATAAAGTGTCGCGCCTGGTTCGGAAAGTTCCTGGAGCATGACGGTGGTTGGGTAGTGGAGGTGGCTGCCGGGGCTGGGTCCCATGGGGCAGGGAGGGCTCTCACCCTCCCTACTCTGGGATGCCCTAAGTGGAAACAACCTGGTGTGGAGTTCGGTGGCATGGTTATGGGGTCCTCATTTTATACTCCCATCTGGGAGGAGCAGCCGGAAGTTCTGGAAAGTGGCGGATGAGGAGATTATCTGGTGCCTGCAGGGAGTGGCTAATGGGTGTGACCCCTAGGTCACTGGAGATTGGGGGAAGTGGGCAGAGGATTTCTGCTCCCGGGTCCGTTAAGTCCAGAGTCCAAGCTCACAATGTTCCTCATTACCTGGGTTCCCTGGGACTACTTCATTCATGCTTGAGGTTTACCCCCAGCGTCCAGAAAGCAGCCTGGAGCGTGGAGGCTGATGGGTAGTGTAGTTCGGCTGACGGGGCTGGGTCCCTTGGGCCTGAAAGAGTTCCCAATCGTTGGGAAAAGACAAGTAAGGAGAGGCTGCTAAAATCTAAGGGCTGGGAGGAATAGAGATGTTACTGGTGCCAGTAAATAGCCGAACAATGGAATGACAGTGATACAGTGATACAGTGTCGCAAACCATATTGCTAAAGAGAGGGAGAGAGAGGAGAGAAAGAGACAAAGAGAGAGAGAGAGAAAGAGAGAGAGAGAAGTGACTATCATAAAAGCAGGGTGGGGTGGGAAAAATAAAAAGAGGGGAAAAAACCTCATCACCTGATAGTCGTTTCCCCTTGTTGACCATTCTATTAGGAATATGAACACTTTGGTTTTTTCACAATGTTGTGTGAAACTACCCCTTTAGGGAAAAGTCCAAGGTCCGGATAGTCCCCTGGGTAAAACAGAGCCCCCCCCCCACACACACACACACACACACACTCACACTGCTTCTATGACAGTCACATTTCTCTCTCTCATTCTCTACTCTCTTTACTTTCTTTTGGGTATTATGATTTGCAATACAGATACTGAAAAGTTATCATGTAGATTATATCTAAAAGTATATAACCAGGCATAGAGAAATGTACCCAAACAGCTTAAGTGTACCTGAAAATGATAAATTAAACCGTTTAGTGTCTTTGAGTTGTAGAGGGCAACATAGGTAAAGGAGAGAGAAAGAGAGAGAGAGTCCAGACTTGATGCTTGAAGGTTCCTGCTGAGTGTTTCTGAGATAGTCCAACCTCTGCTCTTCATTGAATGTGGAGATACTCCCTGCCCTTTATGCCTCTCTCAAACAATGGCTCACATGTTGGGAACCAAGTTGATGATGTTATTGCATTGGGTACATGGCTTCCTGTGTGCTCCCTGCGAGTGCCCAGGCCACACGAAATTTTGTACAGTCCTTGTATGTGTGTTTGTTTATCGCTGTGTGTCTTATTTGTTTCATTCTCAGCAACTGACACCGATGGACTGAGGTTGAAGGTGAAAATCTGATTGGCTTCAGCAAAGTACATTTTTGTATACTCTGGCTTATTGATAGACTTTACACTATCTGTTCTAAAGACTTGGGAAAGTCTCTCTAAATCGCAGCAGCCCAGAGATCATCATCAGCTGAAACCTATTAAGTTGCTGTGTCAAACAATGGCCACAGGTGGCAGACAAATCCCATACATAACAAGAGAGACCCTGAATCCTAGAAACCCTGAGACAGTAACAGGTCCATTGTCAGAAGGGACAAGGCTGTGGTGGGAAAGTCTGAAAGCTGTTAGAGTCTGAGTTGTAGCCAGATTTTCACCCTTTCCTGCTGTGGGGTAGAAGTCCTGTCCTGCCTCTCTGCTGTGGACTTTTGATCCCCCATTACTGAACATAATTTGACTTAAGTTCCTCTGTAATGTTTCAGAGATAGAGCAGTAGAGTCACTTAAGGTAAAACAAGCTCACAGGAGGGGAATTCAATGGGAGTATGGGATATCAGATAGTAATGTTTTGGGTGTCCTTATGTTGCTCCACTTCGATGCCATGGGGAACACAATGAGACCCACCTCCAGTCCCCCTGGCTGTTCCAGGAGAAGGTCAGAGTCCCTGCAGGGCCAATATGAGTGTTCAGAGCATCAGAGACTGAATCTAGCTCTGAAGCTTCTGCTCAGCCCATTCCTCCTGAGACTCTGCAGGATGGTGGCAGCTGCTCTGTCCCCTCCTCACCATCAGAAGAAGCTGCCACAGGCGCTCAGACAACCTCTGTGTGCTAATCCTTCATCTGCTACCCCAGACCTCCACCACCAAGCTCTGCCAGTAGTTATTCCAGAGTATAGTGCCAGAAATAAGCTGTAGGAACTGCTGGGTGTGGTCCAAAACCAAAACAAAACAAAAAAGAAGAAAAAGACATGTATGGTGTAGGATGTGAGCTGAGGGAGCACAGTGCATTCAAGGGGAATTCGGTGGAGGAGACTCATCTCCTCTATCCCTTCTGGACTCATTTCCATCTGGTCAGCTCAGAAGGGAATCTTTGAGAGAAAGAGGGACTGAAAAACATGGAAGAATATCCAGAGATGTTATGTACATGTTATGTACATGTTATGTTATGTATGTTATGTACATGTTATGTACATAACATGTTATGTACATGTCGGTGGTTCTGGGAAGGCAGAGAACTTTTCTCAATGTGGAGAACAAACCCCACAATCTGAGGCTGAGGTGGAAGTGATGAGACTTTCTCAGAAATGTATTTGGACATGGCTTGTTAAGCAATCACGGCCCCACAGGTTTATATAAACGTTTTTGGTTGGCAGTGATGACATCTCTAAAACAAGTAATACCAGTATACCAAAGCTAAATGAAAGATTCCATGCCCTCAATTTGATCCAAAGATGTGAAATTAAAGGAATCTATAATTCCTGAGAGTGTCTGTGTGGCTGTGGTCTGACAGAGCCTGTCCCTGGGCAGAGAGAGCAAGAAGCCCTGTTCTGACTCTCAGGGGACCAGGGACTCGCACTTCTGTGCTCACACTGGAGACCTTCTAGGTCACGGGGAGGAGCATGTTCTCTGTGGGCAAAGTTCTGCTTCCCCCAGGGAACCACACCCCTGACTTCCCTGCAACTGGGCTGGTCCCCACACATCCTCCCTCTCTGCCTGCCCAGCCTGGCCAGCCCCTCTCATTTGCAAATCCTCAGAGCTCATGCCTGGACACTCCATAATAGTCCGTGTCACCCTGCAGGGTCAGTCTTTGCCACACACCCAGAGTGGACATGAGGGCCCCTGTGCAGTTCCTCAGCTTCCTGCTGCTCTGGCTCCCGGGTAAGAAGGGAAAGGAGGGTTTACTAGATTGTGCTACCCATGTTTCAGGGAAAATAATTTAAAGTACAATGAATGGTGCTGATGATGTTTGTTTATATTTTAATCCCCAGGTTCCAGGTGTGATATTCAGATGACCCAGCCTTCATCCGTGTCTGCATCTCTGGGAGAGAAAGTCACCATCACCTGCAAGGCCAGTGAAAACATTAAAAGTTACTTATCCTGGTATCAGCAAAAACCAGGCAAAGCTCCCAGGCTCCTCATCTATTATGCAACCAATTTAGAACCAGATGTTCCTTCCCGGTTCAGTGGCAGTGGATCTGGGACAGATTTCACTCTCACCATCAGCAACTTGAAGCCTGAGGATGCTGCCACTTACTACTGTCAACAAGGTTATACTCCTCCCACAGTGATACATGCCAGAACATAAACCACCAGAGATCAGCTGTGTGAGGCTGGGCTGCCCCAGCTGCTCTTCCAAGTGCCTCCCCCGCTGAGGGTGTGTCAGATGCAGCCAGGCTGTGCAATGATAGACAGTTCTGGGTCATCAAAGGAGCATTTGGGGGCCCCATTATTCTCCTTGTCATCCCAGCAGCACAGACATGACAACAGAACTGCTGATTGAATTCATAGAGATTATTTTCCTGAAGTAATTAGGTGACAGTTAAAGTGAGTCTCCTGACCTAGTGCCTGGCTGTCCTCAATGGGACCCCTTGGAGGGGGACGGGTTGAGCTTCTCTCCCCACCCTGAGCAGAGCTCCGGCAGCTGAAGACCTCTGGAACCAGCTACAGCCATGCTTAAGGCCACTGTCCACATGCTCCGATGAGCCTCACGCAGGAAGGAACTGGCAGAGGAACTCAGGTGTGCGAGACCCCTGGGGCTGAGATCTCAGATCGGGAGTGGGCTTCCTTCACCCATATCCACTGTCTTCCAGTAGCGAAGCATTACTCCCACCAACTGCCCAGGGCACCGTGTATTCCCATAAACGTCCAGAGACTATAATACCAAGCTCCCGGAAGCATGGGAACTATTGTCTAGTTCTCACTCTCAGAGAACCCGGTAGGCTACTGAGAGTTTCCTGCCCTCACAGGAGAATCTGGAAAGCCCCCCGTGGTGTATTCAATATGCCAAAACCCAGTAACAATGATGAGTCTCATTACCCTGACCCTGAAAGAGCCTCCAATGTGGCGCTAGCTAAAATCTCAGGGCTAGGACGAATGGAGACTTACTGGTGCCTGCTCGAGGAAACCCATGAACAATGGGAAGACAGTGATACAGTGATACAGTGAAGTAGGTGACAGTGTCATTCAGAGTTTATAAGCGCTGCCCTGTACACTCTAGAAGGCCTAGAACCCATGTTTTAAAGGATGTTTTCTAATAATCACACATATTGTCACCCCAATTTTGATGACACCTGAGCCACTTCATAGCCTCACATTGAGGGCGTCTCACAGGGTGCATTCTCCTCTGCCATGATGTCCTGTCTGACGTGGTTCAGAGAGAGAGACTGTGTCTTACCAGGGGACAAAACCTCACAATCCTGCGGGTGTTGGGGGCGGGGGGAGGAGGACTGAATATACTCCCTTGACTGAGGGATTCTGACATTTTAATGGGAAATACAACAATTTTAGTGACAGGAACTGTGGTATATACTATCCTGTATCCCCTTGAATGTATAGCACTGTAGCACTGTCCTCCTGTTGTTCATTGATTTGCTCGAGCGGGCTCAGTAACATTGTGAGACTTGTTACTGTGTTTGGCATATCAAATATATCACGGGTATTGTAAGCTTGCCAGGCTTTGTCGTGTGGGCGAGAGAGTCTTGATAGCTTGCCGGGATCTCCGAGAGGGGTGGAGGAATCGAACCTTGGCCGACTGGGTCAGCCGCGTGCAAGCCTTACCTGCTGTGCTATTGCTCCAGCCCTTGAATGTGTAAAGGGGTATAAACTTCATTTCAGGGTAAGAAGGGAGGGAAACTCAGGCAATTATGAGATCATATCAAAAAAAGGAAAATGTCAACACCCCATACTTAGCCCAAAGTCTATAACCGAGACCTCATGGGAAACACCCTGGATCACACTGCTTGAGCTTCCCTGACACTCTCGGAGGTAATGTAAATCTACGGAAATTATTGTTACCTTAGAAAACTCCACATTATTTGTGATATTTTCCCACTTTATTTGGCCAAAATCCCACCACTATCTAGCACTATTGATTTTCCTTGGATTTGAATCCTTAGAATGGGAACATAAAATATGGGTTGACATTGGTGGGAAAAATGTTGACCTCTTTTTGAAAGAAGTCGGATCTGCATTCCACATTTTGTTTTCCACTTTCCCTAAGCACAGACCAACCATTCAGAGCCTTTGCCAAACTGGTCCTGGCCTGTGGGCAGGAAGCCCCTGGGCCATGGAGTTGCTGTTCCCTGAACACGGGCTCTGAGTCCCCCAGACCCTGGGTTCTGGCTCCAGCTGAGAACGGGAATGTGGGGGCTCAGGGGCAGGTGTTTGTGACCCGGACACTGAGATGAGACCTTGGCTCAGTTCATGCAGTGTCACAGCTCTGACTGCTCTAGCACATCAATGGCACTAGCAAGACCTTGGGGACACAATCAACACAGGGACTCCCTGGAGTTTCGTCTCTGTATTTGGGTTCTAGTGCAGCCTGTGAGCCCAACATCCAGCTTCCCTCAGGGGCTCAAGAGAGTCTCCATATGCGTCCAACAGAAGCAGACACCCAGGAAGTTTCCAGAGATCTGCCACATGTAGCATCCACACTGACACAAATATCACACACAGTTGGCTGAAGGGAAGAGGAATATATATATCACCTGTTGTCCTGGCGATGTGGCTGGATTTTACTGCATTAAATCTCACAATTAATGTGGCTCAATAGTTTGGAAAGAATTAAATTGGACTAAACTAATATTTTTAATTATATTTAAAAATCAGCTATTATTTTCACATGATACATTTCAAGTATCCAAAGTCCATATGTGGGCACGGCTATTCTCAGAGCATAGTTTTATTATGCTTAAAAATAATCTAGTGCCAATAATCTCATCTCAGTGTCTAGTGATTCACATGATGTGGATTACATTTCACATGTCTGAGGCCCCAGTTCATTAGGACATCTAAAAATTAAAATATTTCTGTTGGGCACTAATGGTTTGATTGTTTCATTCGGTTTCTGAAGCAGCTACTGGCATAGGCATAAGCCTATGGACAGAAACAGCGTGTCCATAGGCTGATGGCACAGAGGCCTCCTCACTGGTGTAGAATCTATGGGTCTCTGATCTGGTCCGGATGGTTCTTGGAGGAGGCATGAAGCTGGGTTGAGAAGTCTACATCAGGAGTCAGGATCCCTCTGCTCCCTGGCATTTTTCCCATGCTCACCTGTCATTTCCTCCTCCTTCCTGAAAATCTTCCTGAAATTATATCCACGTCATGTGAGGATGAAAGAAACTAGCACTTAACTCCTGGTGACACACATCCCTCCTGATTTCCTGCCCCCTGTTAGTTATTACTTCCCAAGTAGTTGAGCAGTTTATTTAGACAGGGAGTCATTTTTGTTCCTACTGAATGAACTGATAATATATATTGTATTATGTATTTCAAACACTTATCAGAAGTCTCTAACAGCATCACTGGTACAAGCATTGAAAATCATTTCAGCTGCTGTATCAGAAAACAGCCACTAGATGGGGGACAGAACCCAGAACTGACAAGGCAGAGCCTGGATCTTAGAAGTGCTGGGACAATAACTGAGTTAGTGTACCATGACCAAGAGGGGCACCAGATCCTGTGGGTGTGAGGGTAAATGTATGAAAGTAGCTTCTCAGAGACTGATTTTACACAAACGATCAGGTTCTTTCCAGTGGGGATATGAGTCTAGTATAAGTTGTCTGCCTGAGGACATTGGAGTTTACTACTGCATGCAGTTTATGAATTTTATATCCACAGAAATACAGGCCCAAAACAAGCCTCCCACATGGCCTGGGCCAGATGCCCACACTTGTTCTTTGCTGGTGAGCAGACAGTAGCAGTGAGTTTCAGATTCTAAGTGAGATAAAGGTCTCAGGGGAGGAGGCTTCAGCTGTGGGCTGTGGATCATGAGAGCCCCTGCTGTACTGCAGACACACCCTTCATGATCCTGGGCAGGGTGGTAGGTGTACCAGAGGCCTTGGCACGTTGCTGATTACAGATAAAATCATACATTAGAGTAACTATCAATTTCATATGTAGTCAGTTATAAATTAACAGCACAATCACATTCTTAGTCCCAAAGAAACATCCAATAAATGTTCAGTAAACATGTTGGAACAAAGTCATTCATCCTCAAGCAAAGGCAGCACTTTCAGCAATCTCAAAACAGGCAGCACAACTCACTACAAAGACTAGAGGGTGGACAAACCTTACAATTGTTTCTGTGTGCTCTTTCTCCAACTTTGTTTTACAACATTACACCTCCCCAAAAAAGCATGCAGCATCTTTCTCCAATCCCCCAAAGGAAAGGGTCTCTGTTCCCTACAGGAAGCAGCACATATGAGGGCAGGTTACAATTACCCACTGTCACTGTCACTGTCCTCCCGTTGTTCATCGATTTGCTCGAGCGGGCCCAGTAACATCTCCATTGAAGACTTTGCTGTTACTGTGTTTGGCATATCGAATACATCTAGGGTAGCTTGCCAGGCTCTGCCATGCTGGCGAGATACTCTCGGTAGCTTGCCGGGCTCTCTGAGAGGGGCGGAGAAATCGAACTCGGGTCAGCCATGTTGGCTGCGTGCAAGGCAAACAACCTACCACTGTGCTATCACTCCAGCCCCACAACAAGATTTATCCATGTTTGTCATTGACACCCCAGATTGGTGACATGAGCGGGGGACCTACTCTGTGATTAACAATTGGAAGCCTGGTAGCCCTGGTGTTATTACTTTCTACAAACTCTCTGTTTACAACAGAGTCATATAGTTTATGATGAGAGAATGGCTGCATTTAAGACACAACTGCATAGTTTAATATAATGACCTCAGAAGTAAAGCTAATACTGAGTTGTTCTAGTTGCATTTCAAGTCTCTCCTACACAATAATTTGTAGAAAGAGTCACACATTGGAAAAACACAAGCCAAAAATCACTCTAGAACCAGGCATGAAACTTGGATATAAAAATCATGTTTCCCATGTATGAACCTCTGGGTTTGAATTATAACACACCAAGAAAGCATTCTGTGCCAAAATGGTTGAATTATAGCCTGGCTTTCTCATAGAGTCATAGGAATAAACTTCATCTGTCTTGGTCTAGAACTCATGACTATGAGGCCTCCTCAGTGGTGCATCTACTGAGGTTCTCAGAGCCGTTCGGGTTATGCTAGAAGAGGAATGAGGCTGCATTAGCCCCTCTAGAGAG